GAGCTTCCAATTGATTATTCATGTCATATCTAGAAGTAACTGTATATAAAGGAGCATTTCCAAAAATGGAAAAGAGCTGGGCAGGGTGCCACTGTGTTTGATTTATTACATGAGCAATATCTTAGCAAACTGAAAAGATAAGAAGCTCTTATTTTATGTTCTAGCTTGTCAATATCGATAATTTGAGTTTCCAGTTCGTTCGAAACTATAGACTTAGTATTTTGACTTCAGAAACATCTAATTTGAACCAGTGCTGCATTTAACATACCACGTGACACGCAAAAATCAATGTTTATCTGTGTTTTTTTAATATTTGCTTTTAATTTAAGAAATTGAGTAATTTGAATTATAATCTACAGTTTGATACCAAACTTATTGACATAAATTCATGAAATAGTAGTTCAATAAAATTTGGAATGTGAGTCAACAAATGAGATGACATGGCTATTCACCTGTGACCCACCTCTAAAGGGTTAAAGGGGTGTTGAGAATTTGAAATAAAATCGAAGCAGTGTTAAATAATTTAAATTTTAATAGTTGAATTGTACCCTGGATTTAGTGTCTAGAAATATGCCGATATTTTATTTAATTTACGCAATTTGCCAACAAGATTGATTCACACCGTTTTTGTTTTGAAACAAATACGTTTTACTATATATATATGTATGTATATACAATAGTATAATTTATAATAGCAACTATTATGATTAATTATTACAAACCAAGTTTCATAAACAGAAATTTCACTAACTTACAAATAACCTAAAATCATCTTCCTAGTTCAGAGTCTCCTTCATATCCAGTGAGATAACTTGAAGTCGATGTACGTACAATTGTCAGGAAGCTAGCTAGATTTGTCAGGCATTGAATTGTTGGATCGTTGAAGTAAGATAACATTTTCATAAAACCACTAATGTTCGATGAGAAACCAGTAATATTTTTGGAAAGATGTTAATGTTTGATGAGAATTCATTGATGTTCAAAATTGATAACTGTTCTTGGTCAAATGTCGTCTATTTTTCGGTTGGTAAGGGTTAGCAAAATCACGGTTTATAGCGTACCAGATTATATCAGTTTCCTACCAGACTTCTGTGTTCTCTCTTTTTTTGGCGCATCACTTTTTTTAGGCGCTTGAAATGCTTTCTCGAAGGTTTGGACAATACCATATTTAACCGGTTATGGAAGTGGATATATTGTTCATTCTTACATTCACAAATATTCTACAACCTTGGAGAATTGGCGGGAGTTTTGCCATATGTAACTAACATGGTAAGATAGGCACGTTTTTACATATAAACTCAATCTCAACAAATGTTGTCATTAAAATAAATAATTAACAAATTCATTACACGCAATACATATCTGACACTATAAGTTACACATATTTTTAAATACAAAGTTAATCTAAACAACATTCATATTAAAAATAAATACATAACAATAAATTCGTTACAGGGGCTTTTTAGACCATCAAAGCATTGAACACGTGAGCAGAGCTATTTTGTTTGAATGCAGTTTGCTAACTCTTCGGGTTTTGTGGTTTATCTAAAGTGATTGCGATGTACCACCCATGTGTTTTTTTTTTAATATTCCTGCTGTTACAGTTTTGTAACTTGAAACATTATGTTTGTGGTTGATTGCAGTATACATAAACTTGGCTAAGCAAAATGTAGGCAAATGGTATAATGCAGCAGATTCAGTTGAAAAGCAAATAACACTGATTTCATCAAAAAAGAATATAAGAACAAAAAACGTTTTAAAAACAGGAAAATATATGTTTGGGTGAACTATCTAAATACACCAATAACATCACAAAGATAAAAAAACAAGGAGCAAATGATTGGAGATTTGTTTTGTCCTTATTAATAGTATATAAAGATAGTTTTTCTCTTCTTTTTTCTTTTTTTTGTTTTCACCATTTTATGGCTCTAGTGAAGTATTTTTGCCTCACAACGTCATCAATTGGAAATTACTTTTTCATGTATAATATGTATAATACTTCTTTATTTCTAAGTAGTTTTTTTCAGATGTTTGTGTCTAAAACTAATTTTTGGTGAAGAGTATTTGCATAGGATGTGGTGACCAGTGTTCAAAAATCTGATTTTACCCTTAGTTGTCCCTCAGTAACACAGTGGTAAGCCTAAAGGGTTAGAAGACTAACAGTGGTGGGCACAGAACAGAGAGCCCATTGTGTAGTTTTGTGATTAACTACATTTAAGGTTTCTTTTGCCATCTCTACATTCACAGGTTATAGTTCATCCTGTAGTAGTTCTGGAACTCTTCAATTATCTCCTTAGATAGGTTACACCAATTTCCTGTGGAAGTTCTAGAATCACGCACACATCTTCTGTGGAAATTGTTGAACCTTTTAGTTATCTTAAGTTACACACCCATGTCTTCTGTGGAAATTGTTGAACCTTGTAGTTACTTTAGGTTACACACACATCTTCTGTAAAAGTTCTGAAAACCATTAGTTACTTTAGGTTACAAACACATTTTCTGTGGGAATTCTGGAAACCTTTAGTTACATTAGGTTACACCTACATCTTCTGTGGAAATTGTTGAACCTTTTGGTTACTTTAGGTTACACCCATGTCTTCTGTGGAAATTGTTGAACCTTGTAGTTATCTTAGGTTACACACACGTCTTCTGTGGAAATTGTTGAACCTTTTAGTTATCTTAGGTTACACCCATGTCTTCTGTGGAAATTGTTGAACCTTGTAGTTATCTTAGGTTACACACACGTCTTCTGTGGAAATTGTTGAACCTTTTAGTTATCTTAGGTTACACACCCGTGTCTTCTGTGGAAATTGTTGAACCTTTTGGTTACTTTAGGTTACACATCTTCTGTGGAAGTTCTGAAACCCATTAGTTACTTTAGGTTACACATACATCTTCTGTAAAAGTTCCGAAAACCTTTAGTTACTGTAGATTACACACACATCTTCTGTAAAAGTTCTGAAAACCTTTAGTTACTGTAGGTTACACACACATCTTCTGTAAAAGTTCTGAAAACCTTTAGTTACTGTAGGTTACACACACATCTTCTGTAAAAGTTCCGAAAACCTTTAGTTACTTTAGGTTACACACACATCTTCTGTGGAAAACCTGGAACTCCTTAGTCAGAGAATAGATGCTTGCTACATTGGAGTGGCCAGATCATGTACAAAATCCAGTTCTGTGTTTCACCTTCTCACAAGTGGGTTCCTCGCAAACTTTTAATTGTCAGAATTCTAACTTGTTTCTTAGGACTAAAAACAATGATTTTTGTGTGTGTCTATATACCAAAGTACGACTTTTTATTATTACTTTGATAATTTTTATAGTAATGTTGTGACATATTTTAAAACCAACGTCAAAACTTTTTTTTCTTTACATGTACGTTACGTTACTATTCTATACTTTTGCAGCTTTCATCTTATTAACATGTCATTTCCTCAGTCTATGAGAATTATTTTCAAAACTTATAGGTTAATTCCCTCCTGGCTAGTGCACACACACTCATCATCATCATCATTTTGGGTACTATGTCAGTGCCACATTTTGTACAGCAACACAAGTTATGTTTGTTTTTTTTCCCCTAGCTTTTTAAGATCTTGTTGTTTTTTCAGCTAAAGACCGAGTGTTTTACCACACCTTATGGGTTATTTAGACAGAGTAAACTGCCCTATGTAATATTTTATGGCTTGATTGAAATATTTGCATGTAGAATTGTGTTTAAAAAAGGTTACACAGTACGTAGCATAACAGGAAAATTGTACTATATTTTTATTGAAATAATTGTTTATGTGACGTATCTTGCATGCTTGTAAGGCCTTTTATCTAACAAACAGAATATATTCATCTCAGTTACATCTATTTCACATGAAGTCAGAATTTTTCATGTCATAGAAAAGTTTGATTTATGGTGGTATTCTATACTGAATTTGTTAGACCTTATCTGTAGCTGTAGTCATGTTCACATTACTTTTTTTGTAACTTGTTGGAGCTGAGGTTTCCAAATTTGTAGTTTAAGGTCCCTCAAGACATTGGCTGAGGCTACCTACCATCTCAATTATATTATAGATTAATGATAACCACTATATCTTGCTTTCATTGATAATTTTTTCTTTGATAAAAAATCTCAAGCATAAACAAACTGTGTAGTCATATTTATTACAACCAGTAAAATTCTCTTTGAAAATATTGCTTCGTCCGGTGTCAGGGAAAGTTTAAAGAGAATATTTCTACATGTGTTGAGGTGCCCCCTGAGGACCATAATTTGGGAACCATTATTTTAAAAGACTTTTTTTTGACTGAACATAACAGTGAGAGAAGCATGTTTTCAACTACTTAAAAAAGTGTCATTACAAAAACTCATCAATCTTTGTACAGTAATGTTAAATCACTAATCAAAATATGTAGTTATTGTTGCAGTGTTAGTACTGTGCATAGAAACGTGAATGTTGAATAATAGTAAAAAAAAAACAATGTTAAATTAAGCTGTTAAAATAATAAACTATTTGCTTAATCTAATACCTCTACATGGTCATGGTAAGGTATGTATAGTAGTAACACAAGTGGAATATGCTTGAATCTGGAAGAATGTATGCTACAACATTTTGTTAAACTGAAGCCTCCTTTCTTTTTTAGGGCCTATTCATTGGTGGATTCTTCCCGGGTGTCAACATTTTTAGTATCGATCCTCCTGATTGTTTACAGCAGCTTTAGGTGAGTTTTTTTTTAATCTGGTCCATGATCTGAAAGCTATGGTCTGTGTGTGTATGAAGTCTATTTCAATTTAATAGAACATTTTGCTTCAGTAAAAATTCAGGCAGAAAAGTCAGTAGTTACACGGTGTTGTTAAACTTTTCATTTTGAAGTTTTCTTGTTGGTTTAATAATTTACAGGAAGACAGGGTATACAAGGTAGGGTTAAAGTGTCCTATACAGTTGTTTCATTTAGAACATTGTTTAATTTCTAATGTTCTACCCTGAAACAAACAATAATTGAATTGGTTTGAATTGTCTTTAATACCAACCATATAATGCAAACTGTTTAGTAACTTTTACTCTACAATGTATATACAAAATCTTGTAATATATAGTATTAGAAAACAATATATATAGACACAACTATCAATACAAATTTGTATCACTTGTTTATTTGTGAAAATGACCAACCTTATATAAGATATATAATTCTGTGTGTGTGTGTGTGTAGTGCTTATTATTTTGTAACTTTCTTCCTGTGTATAATGAATTGTGATATTATGTTTCATCTTTTAATTAAAATGAAATAAATATTTTTCTTCAAGTAAACTGATTTTGATTTTAAATCTCCAGTTAATAGTGTGAAAATCATGTAGCCATAATGATGAATGTGTGTGTTTTGCAGTTACTCTTTAACCGTTAAAGACATTTAAGTTAATCTATATGTAATATTTTGGCTAAATATTTTATGAGTAGGTATGTCAGCCGTTAAGACTTTATAAGAATTATGGTAAAATAAGGTTTCGTGTTAACACAATGTTTATATGATAATGTCACTCATTAAATTATTAAAATTGTTGTTGTTTCCTAATAAATAAATTCTGACAAACCAAATATCTTTATAATTTAACATTTGTACAATTTGGTCATCATGTTTTTTTCAGCAAGTACCTACAGGTAGTCACTTAGTGCATAAATTGAAGAGTTATATTTATCCAAATTTCAATTTTCATCCATTTCAAATCTTAGTAAGAAAAAGCCCTTTCTATAAAAACAAATACATTAGTTTAGATTTAGATATCAACATCATTAATTAATCAAACATTCAATAAAACAGATGATTTTAATTTTGAAGTTGTAAACCTTCCATTGCCAAATACAGATATTCCAAATAAGTTAGGCTACAATTCTTACTAGTCACAACGTATTACGTATAATAGAGTTTGTTCAACAGACAAGACTACTTAGACAAAGCTCTCAAACTCACTCTCATTCTTCACAAACAAGATTTCTCTTACCACCTTCTGAATGCCAGGTTTATTCAATTTTGCCGTAAATTGAACAACCTTCTAATGATTTATTATAGGATTATTTATTTTACAGAGTATTGTGATCTTTGCAGAATAGTCACATGAATATTTTAGTTTCTTAACAAATTTTTTTAATGTAATAATGAAGAAGTTTAACATGATTCAAGAAAATATATAATATTCTGCTATTCAGACCACATAATTTTGTTAATGTTATTATTTCCTGTTGGTCAATGAGGTATCTGATTTTTAGGTCATTAAATATGGAACAGGAAGCTAAACAAAAGCAGAATGAAAAGATTGGCCAGAATCCAGAGAGTAGTAAGTTGATAATTCCAGCTTTTTCAAGTGCCTTATAGCTTTCTTTGTTTTAATTTTATTACGATGACAGAATCCAGAGAGTAGTAAGTTGATAATTCCAGCTTTTTCAAGTGCCTTATGGCTTTCTTTGTTTTAATTTTATTACGATGACAGAATCC